CATTATATTATCCTTTTTTGTTAGTCTCATTCTGGTCAAAATGCTTAATTCCATTTGTCTGCACCAATAGCCTTTATAGTCATCTGCTTTACTATGGAGTTACTAGTCTTACTTTGGCTACTGTGTATTCGTGCTCTAGGGATACTTCTCATCTTCAATACAGACTTGCTGCATTTTAACCCTATTTAATCTCAGACTTGTCGTCCTGGAGGCCATTCTCGACGTTCCCCATCTTCACCTTGCCACGAACCCTCCTATTCTATTACTCTCCCTCCCTCTCTCCAGCCTTCCTCCTCTTCGTCTCTTCCTTCGTCCTCATCTTCATCAGCCGCTGCCTCAGCCTCACTAGTCAGGACTTCTCTTAAATCAGTGCGACATACCGATGTGATTCAGGGCGCCTCTGCCTCGACATCTAAACAGCAAATGAGACAGGCTAACTCTGATTGTGCCGTTTTAAGACATATGCCTGTCGAAATGTTGGGTAATTAAACTTTTTTTAGCCTTTTTCTTAAAATGCATTACTTATGCAAGGTCATATTACATTTCATTTCAATTCGACGAATCGGCCTATATGCAGCGAGACTTATGTTCATATTTGTATTAATATCATCACAAATTCGTCCTAGTGTTTAAATATTTGATTTATAATATAATGCTTCTTGAATTGAGAGGAATTATTTAAGATGGGGTTTAAGGATTGTTTCCTTTTTTCTATTTGAGGATAGTAAGCTTATCATCAATTAATTCAACTGCTTATTGACGTTGCACATATGATCTTTCCATGGTTTAGCTGCTCCCACTTTATATGATTCTTTGAAGATTCATTCTTGGTTTGATATTAAGGATAATTTGTCTAAAATCTCTTATTATTTCTTTCCTAAACTCTGTATTTTGTGCTCTCCTTAAGCTTTTCTTCATGGCTAGTAAAACGTTATGGGTCCATTAACGATTGTTGCGATTTATGTAAGGATGAGCCTAATGGGTCTCTTGTTTTATATTTATGCATCACAATCTCTTCATGACCTTGTTTATTTGGTTTTTATTTATTATTTTATGATTTAAGCTATGGCCAAACTTCCTAGCCATATATTATGTCAAGAAGTTTATTGTATCTGACTTGTTTTATTTTAAGGGAAACCAAGAAGTATTATCATCTGCAATGCACTGTTTTCGCACCATAATTGATCTCTTTTCGCTTTATTTAATAACTCTACATACTTTATAGCTCTGATCAGGCGCTTTGTTATATAAATTCAAATTAGGTCACATTGCTCTCATACTCAAACGTGTAAAAATCAATTTCGAATTGGCTGCTTAATCATTCAAAAGGTTTATATTACTTCGGGCTACTGACGCGTCTCATTTTGCTGTAGGTGTGCCAAGTCATTGTCTCATTTACGTTGGTTTTATTGTGCGTTAGTGCTTCTTTCCTAGTTTGCACTCATTCAAGCATGGCTTAAACCATAGGTTTTGCAGCTGATTTATATCTGAATGGACAGAGTATTGATGGAATGGCTATTTGGTTTTCACATTTATAACCTCATTGATTTAAAATACTAACTAACGCAGTACGTCTCACCTAAAATTCAAATTTGTATGCGTATATGTTGCTTGTACAGGACTTAACGTATGCATTTATAAATATCCGCTATCGACGACAGGCTTTAACTTGTTTTTTTATCAAATTCGAAAAGAATTTTTTTTAATAGATTGAGAAGTTTCAGGCATATTTTTGCAGGGACTATCAGCTATTTTTATTTCGATGCTTGCGTGATAATCACATGTCGAATACGCTCATATACATATATATATAATTAAGATAGGTGTTATCTGAAAGCACTTTATTGACTTCATCATAACTTCTTGCTGTCTTGTGATTACTTTTGGATGTCAAAATACCGCTTATCGATCAGGGGTGAACTGATACCTGCAACTACATTCTTTAACATTGGTCTCAGTGTAGCTGTATGACTTCTAGAGACGAATTTATTCAGCCTTATATTGTAATCGCTATTTAGATGGTCAGGGACAAATTTGCAAGGATATTTAGTAATAGCTCACGAAGGCTAATCCACTTGAATATCAAAGGGAATTTCCAAATGCATTTCTAAAATCTTTTGGAATGCGCTCCTATCTGACGAACGTTATTGCAAACCCCATACCTCATTGGTTGCTGAGATTACTTACTGTTATACTCACGTTTGTAAAGTAAGGCACTGTAAAATTCAATTGAAATGTGAGGCCTACTCATATAATTGTGGGAAAATTTCTTTACTATTCCTTACAGCCTCGGACGAAATAGGACAAATAAATCTCATGTATAAGGATGGGTTGTACTAGAAAGTGAGAAACCTGTCCGAAACCTCATTCGACGTTTCCAATGAGGAAGTACTATCAAAGAACTTGAACTTGCCAAGTACTGGGGATTTCAGGGACAAAATATTGGTAAAATTAATGAGTCTAATAAATGGGCTTTCAGAGGGTACTAAGAGCTGGATAACGTCACAAATTGTTCTTTTATTTGATAGCTATGTAGAAGTACCAAATGAGAATAGAGGTTAAAACTATCATAAAAACCTTGGGCAAAATGGCGGTTTAATATTGAGTTAAGTTGACTAACAAGCAGTGATAGTTATAAATAGAGCAGAATATGTTGGGAAAGGCTACAGGAATTTCCGATAACGAAACAAAAGTGTGTACTTAACGACCCAACAGAATCCATCAAGGCTTAGTTTACGTGTTTCTCGTAACAATAACAAGTGAAGATAAGAAGAATGGAAAATTTATGCACTTCAGCTACACTCTAAATCTCCAAATTCTTATGGTTGTCAAAACCCATAAGGTACCACATATAATTATTGTAACTAATAGAGGTAGCTTGATGCATAGAACCTCACGATTTATTTCTACTTCGTGTCTTGTAAGTTTTCAATAAGGAATTCTCACGACTTTGCAAAGTTACTAGATGAATAACCTAAGCATATTCACGACGTTAGGTATAGTGTCTATGTACACTAATATTTTGATAAATGGATAAAAACAGACTATTTCATTTCAAATTAACATTAGAAGATAATAATAGGTATAAGATTGGGCAAAGATTCGGCCATTTGGTTTATCATTTTAGCCATGAATATATGCATGCTTAAACACGTGGATTAGCTGTCGGATCCTGTTTAGCTCTATTTTAGCCAGTAGCTAAACGGTTAAATTGATTCAAGATAAACTCCTAGTTCTAAAGTTGTTTAGGTGTATACGCGGCTACTTTTTTCTTCGGTAATACGGCAATGATAGACTGGAAGAATATCTAAGGATAGTGTTTAGATTAAATGGAATTACTAAATTTAATCTCGGGCTAAATATGTATATAGGAAATTAGCACCTGCAGATTTGTAGACGTAGACTTGTAGATGTAAATCACTAAGACCAGATGCTAGGTAGATTAAGATATGTATTAATTAAAAACAATTATCCATTTATTAATAAATAATTACTTTACAGTATTCTTATATAGCGTGAGGAGAAATTATAATTTCGAATGTGGTAGATAAATATACCTCATTGTTAGGCTTCCGATTTTGTCATTCATTTAGCTTGCGATAATGTTGGGTGAACTACTGATTAATTGGAACATCAGAGCAATTTATTAAATGAAACCGACATTTTTCTCAGTCATTGTTTCTTTCCGTGAATTTTAGGAATATCTTTCTAGATCAGGATGTCGCAGGGTTTTATCCATGTGGGGTTAGCATGCCAACCATTATAAGGGAAGCCTAAACATAAAACCTCTTGTGAAGGTCTATGTTTAAAATTATGAACTCCGAGCATATCGCTGATATACAACACATAAAAAGACAAAACTTAGCATTTTTCAGGCTATGATTTCACACCCAGGCTTAAGATTATTAAGGAGCCTAGAAATGAAAGTGAGTACAAGGTATAAGTGGCTGTTGGATAGGGCGAAGGAGAGTCAGAAGAAATGCTCAGCAAGAACTGTAAACTTGATTAACTTCGAATCATATTTGAGGATGACAGGCTGGATCTTTAATGTAAAGAGACAGCTGCGACTAGATCCTTTTCATTAATCATTTTATCCTATCTGCAAGCATGTATGCTAAAGCATAACTATTTGTCTAAAGACAGCAAAATTAAGCATGAATGGGTGGGTTCACAGTCGACCATCTTCTGGCTAAACGTATTGGTTCATTGCAGTCGCAGGGTAGCGAGCCGAAGCAATCCTTCGGTTTCTAATAAGGCCATTTGACGAATCTCATGACCAAATTTACATTAGAAATAAAAATTCGACTCATTGAATCATTAAAGAATTTTTCATATATTTTATAAGATGTTTGTGAAGCACGGAACTATTTAGATTTACAGCTGGACTCTTGTAGTCATTGCATTTTATTAGGCCTGGCAAGATCCAAACATATATTACGGGATAATTTTTAGGTTGAGATATATTTTGTCAGCACTACGTTTAATCGCTGGTTTTTATTACTTCTTTCACGACTTAAATTAAAACTATTCGCCACTTACATCTCATGATAGCTGATCTTGCATTGAATCTGGGGCACTTGAATGCACGGATTTTTTCACTAGTACCTGTTTGGTAGATTTTCATTTCCAAGGGCCCTATTCTTGAGGGCGTACGCTTGCGTAAAATGATTAAATTCTATTCTTAGACATCTAATTTACGTAGTCAAGGGAATCTCGGCTTTAATATTAAGGAAAATTATCCAGAGTGTCTAAGATACTTAAGGTGACTTTTGACGGTTTAAATTATTTAATTTTATTCCATCACTGGGCCAATTGACATCTCAGAGGATTTTATAGTGATTAATTTTTCCCACTAATGTTAAAACATTACGTCCTATCTATACAAATACGCCTTAAATTATTGTCTGAGCCGGGACTTGGGAAAATTTTCAATATTTTTATTCCTGGATTATCTATACGTATTAAATAGCTTTTTTTATTCATTGGATCTATTTTCTTATTTTCTTGA